AGCCCTAACCGGCCCTAACCCCGAAACCCCAAAACCTCACCCCTCAACAACTCAATTCATGCCAAGAGCCAAGCAGGTGGAGCAGGAGCTAAGCAGAGCGTCGCCGGTGGCTCAGACACCTTGGGGTTTAGGGTTCGGCAGTGCTGCGCAGCTTGGAGCAGGAATTGCGACCCACATCATATGTTCATGAGCTTGTCAAAGGCGAGTGCATAATACAGTATAAGATAGTATACTATAGTACAAGATAATATAATATAGTACACCCTAAACCCTAAACCCTAAATAGGCTCTGTGTGGCTTGGAATGGCTTAGATTTGCAGTGCTCTGGAGGCCCAGCGTTGGGTGTCATCCGTTTAGGGTCGCAGCTCTTGCAGCTGAAAATTTTAGGGTTTAGGGTTTAGGGTTTAGGGGGTAGGGTGTAGGGTTTAGGGTTTAGGGCATTGACAACCGTAACCCTAAGACTCCCAGTATACAAGTAGTACCTACTTTGGGGTCTAAAGTCTATACATACTACCTACTTTGGGCCATTTGAGGCTTGGGGTCATCCCCACCTAGTCTATACAACTTAAACACCAAGGTAGGAATCCCCAACCCCCCCAAAGCTATTTAAGCTGCAAAACCTCCAAAAGGCAAACCCTACCACGCCTCGAAACCGTAAACCCTGAACGCTAAGCCCTCAAACTTACTTGAGGTTTGGCATTTGGGACACTAACTCCAGGAAGCTCTTGACCCTAATACGCCTCAATCCATTGCCCTCAAGCCCTGTGCCCGTGGCGTCCGTACCCTTGAAATGATTCCAAACCCTCCCTTTTGCCGTTAGTGTTTTTCTTGTTTGGGTTACCTGTTATCTGATTTTGCGACTGTGGAACCCTAACCAAAAGACAGACATTCCAAACACAGCTACGGCAATCCAGGGTCCAAGTCCAGGGTCAATATGTAGATCTCCAAGCCTGCATCTTAACACCATAAGGAACATAAACCCTAAACCCTCTAAACCCACCTTATCCTCTAAACCCGCAGTTATCAGACCCCGAGCCCCTAAGCCTCTCCCCTTAAGGTAAAAGCCAGAAATTTGAAAGCTGGAATATGACTATCCTAAACCCTTCTGTGGTATATTATAGGGGATCCTACCCTGAAACCATATTCCAACTTTCTGGAGTTCCCCTTAAAAAGGCAGAGCCCTTCGGCAGCGAGCATCCCTCCCAGAGACTCCGATATCTCTTAATTAAGGAATATACCTTAAACTATAGTAGGATCCTTAATATGATTTAAGGAATATTCCTCAATTAAGGGATATTTGAGTCTCTGGGCTGTCGTAGGGTTCTGTGGGGCCTTTGGGGCTGAAAATCTTACAGTAGAAGCCCAAAAAGTTGGGAACCCCATACTTGGAAGGGCAGGGGACTTAGTAGGGCTCCTTAAAGGGATCTATAGGGTTCCTTAAAAGGGATCTATGGGGTTTAGGGTTTAGGGACTTAGTAAGTAGGTTATAAGTAGGGCTATACTTGGGGTAACTCCGTTTAGGGTACTTGTAACTCTACTTATGACCTACTTACTAAGTCCCCTGTCCTTCCAAGTAGCTTCTATCCTTAAGAGGAATGTACAGGGAATCCCAGCACTATTTGGCCTTAATGGGGTTTACCGTAAGTTTTGCGATTTCGGTGCTCCGCTGGGGACCTCAAACTTCACAGGTTGGCAGACCAGCTGAGGGACGACTCTTCGGAGGCCTGCACCGTGGAGGCGCCAATTGTTTCTCAAAGAGCTACAGTAGAAGCCAGAAAGTTGGAACATGGCTTTAGGAGGACTAGTGCTAGGATCCCTTATACTTTACCTTAAGGGCATGAGGATAGTGATGTTCCAACTTTTTGGCTTCTACTGTAGGGGCTAGCCGGCTAGCGCATTTGAGAAGGTTTTGGCCTAGAGGCTTCCCGACAATGTTCTCTCACTGCAAGTTGAGGCTCTGTGGGATTGCTCAGCCTGGCCAGCACGGCCTGCTCTTACGTGTTGTTTTTTGAGTCGTTGCCTCTTTTTAAAGACAAGCCGTCTGGTGCTATGTAGCTCTGGAGGCTGTGTCTGTTGAGTATTTCATTTGCACTTCAAGTATTTCGGATGAGTTTGGATTTAGGGTTTAGGATTTCTGCCTTTAGCAACGACTATGCGTCCCTTGCAGACAGCGATGCCCGGCCGATATGTGCGGACTTCAGCTGAAGGCATGCAGATCTGATATTCAGAATCATAATCCTTGCTGTAGCAAGCCATTACAGCACACACGCTTACACCCTTTAGCAACCTACCATGTGTCCCTTGCAAACAGTGATGCCAGGCCGATGTGTATGGCCGGCGGATACAGGCAAATCCGACGTTGGCGTCTACTGGGTGTTGCATGCTTTCGAAACCGGTGGCTCCAGGATACCGTAAATGCGGGTTTGTGTTGCTCATTTCAGTTTGTCGGCATTGGTTTATGGGCATTGGTGCCGGGATATCCGGGGTTTGCAGTCTCACTATAGATATTCCTGGGGTATCGTGCGAGAATTAAACTGTGTGTAGTACTTAAAAGCCTAATTGACCCGAATCCTGCAAGGTTTAGGGTTTAGGCATATTGGTGTCATCCTACTCACTCAATCACCACCAGCCTCAAACTCAAACGCCTTCAGTCCCCAAAACTCCGCACGCCGAAAGCATAAATCGCCCAAACCTTTACCGCCGACAACTTTGGATCCAAGAAGTTTTTGGAACCTTGAGCCCAGAAAGACTTACATAATTCTTACACCCCCGATAACTGAAAGCTCGATCAGCCCTAAACCCCTAAATCCTAAACCCCTAAATCCTAAACCCTAAACCCTATAATCCCTAAACTGACGGCTCAGGCCTTTCAACGCCGCCTCCTAATGCATCGGGCCATTCGGTGTTGAAGGACCCGGGGAGTGATCCGTGTTCATATGCTACTATTTGCTTAAGAACCCCCCCCAAAAAAATAAAAAATATATTCCTTATGGGGGGTAATATAGGGATTATTTTTTTTTGGGGGGGGTTTCTTAAGCAAATAGTAGTATGGGAGCTTCCGAAAATGTGGGACCCTACTATAGTGCCCTAAAGTAGTAGGATCCAGATTATAAGAACCCCAAATACGGTACCCCTACTTTTCTGAAACTCCCATATAGGTCGTGCTATTGAGGATGCTGCTAGGATCATAGCTAGAGATCCTCACGGTGAGGATGCAACGGCTCTGGACTTTAGGGTATAGGGTTTAGGGTTTATGGGGTTTAGGGTCTGTAGGGTCTAAAGGGTTTAGAGTCTAGGGTTTATAGGGTTTAGGGTTTAGGGTAGACCAGGGTTGCATAGTTTAGGGTTTACGTAGGGTTCTCCAAGAATACACCAGGCACCACAAGACTGGACAAGTACCCATAGGCCCCGAAGTAGTTCCTTTTTGGGATTACCTTATAGGGTTCTATATATGATCCCACAAAAGGAACTACTTTGGGGCCTTAGGACAGCTAGTGTTGAACCTGAGCTCTCCACCTCTTCAACTTCAAGGCTCAACTCTGAGTCCTGAAGTAGTAGGGACTTGAGAAGGTGGTGCCATAAACACTAATATGGATATGAAAACCTACTTTTTCTGTAGGTCCTTATTATAAACCCTAATATGGATATTATAGGGACACTACAAAAAAGGTAGGTTTTGGTGGGTTCAGGTAGGTTGTTAGGTGCAGGGCATTCTTGATGTTATAGAGTAAAGGGGCTGCTTGAGTGCTCAGGTTACGTAGTTTCCGCGGTTGATGCTTTTCAGATTGGGGGTGTTACTTTGGAGTTTCCCAAAGGGTCCTATGTACTGTTATGGGGAATACTTCCCCAACTCATAACAGTAATTCCTAATATAGAAACCCTACATTCTACTACATCGGTACTTTGGACCCTTTGGGTTTGTCATTTCACCAAAAAGCGTGCCTTTGTCTGGCAAAGTTCCTGATCCAACAGCAAGTAGGCGCTTCAACCGTCCGAGGAGTCCGTAATCCTTGAGCGCCTTCAGCGTTGAGAACAGATGCCGGTGTCAATGAACGCCAGCATATCTTTCGAGCCGCTGCCTGCGGCAGAATCGCTGCACCAGGGAAACGATGCTCAGCGTCCTTTGCAAGGGATCTCTCGAAGGTTTCCCAAAGGCTCCATGTACCCATATAGCAGGTACTTAGGCCTCAAAGTAGCCATGTAGGGACCCCTTTAAGGCCTAAGTACCTACTATATGGGTGCATGGAGCCTTAGGGTTTGATTTCAGGTCTACGAGTTCACAATGGCGAGGGCTTTTGAGCGTTTTGGTTCATAATCGTATTCAGATTCCGTTTGGTTCCCTATTTATTCTTCTAGAACTGTACACCGCCCCAAATTAAGGCCCAGCGATTCGGCTGATCAAAATCCCGGGCACTGACCTCAAATCCGAGAGCAGATCAAGCGCAGTGCGCTCCCTGGAACCTCTCTCATGCTTGGAAGGGCAGGGAACTTAGTAAGTAGGTTATAAGTAGAGTTATAAGTACCCTAAATGGAGTTACCCCAATTATAACCCTACTTAGAACCTACTTACTAAGTCCCCTGCCCTTCCAAGCTCTCTCATATCACGTGTCGTTTGAACGCTAAACCCTACAAGCCCTTAACTTCAGCTGAAGGCTCAAGCTTGGAGATGGTAGCCAACAAGTTGGGGCTTATGCTTACTTTTTTTGTTTCAAGAATTGAGGCTAGGATTTGAGGGTTTCGAAATTTGAAATTTGGGTTTAGGTTTTTAGTGTTTAGGTGCTAAGGTTTGGCGCTCAGCGCTCCGCCCGAGGATTATGAATTGAAACGTCCTGGCTTTGAAGATGAGCAGGGCCCTGGCAGACGAAGCGCCCTTAGTTCGGCGTCGAAGTTTAGGGTTTAGGGTTTCTTATTTCGGCTTCGAAGGTTAGGGTTTACTGCAGGGTTTGCAGGAGCTCTGATGCAACACAACATCACATGAGGAGATAAATCCCTGCGGTGCCATGGGTTGCGGAGCCTCCGTGGAGCCAGGAAAAGCCGACTCTGCCGAAACATCGTTAAAGGCTCCGCAGGGACCGGCGGTCCCAGTGGATCCGTCGAAGTTTACAAGTATCTCGGCTCGTTCTCGTTCACGGTGGGTCGTTTAAGGCTGATAAGGTTTGCAATTTAGGGTTTAAAGTCAAAGCCAGAAAGTTGGAATATGATTATCCTAAACCCTTTATGGTAAATTATAGGGTATCCTACCCTGAAACCATATTCCAACTTTTTGGAGTTCCCTGTGGGGTTTAGGTTTGGGTATTTCGGCTGGCTTTCCCTGCATCCGGACTGCCATCTTCTGCGGTAGCCATTAATTAATCGCTTGACCCTCGGGCTTGAAACCGTGTATGGGAGTTTCCGAAAATTAGGGATACCTTATTTTGGGATCCTTATCAAGGATCCTACTATGTAGGGTACTATATTGGGGTCCCCTATTTTCGGAAACTCCCATATCTTACCTATGCTTAGCAAGGAATGGAAGAATGGTAGCAATAGTTGTTATAAATATACACCATTCCTCCATTCCCTACTAACCAAGGGTAAGATATCCCAAACACCAGATTCCGGTGCTTGCATTGTTGGCTTGGGGCTCGAGGCTGTCTCGCGCAAGGTTCATGTGGGTGGTTGTCAGTATTAGGATCCCTTTCTGGGTCCATATTATAATGCGGCACCTCATATCAGCCCTGCGGCCCAAGCTGTGCAATTTGCCCATGACTCTTTCACAACTTGGAGGGTCGGGGGACTTAGTAACTGTTTATTCTAGGGACTTATTACGTACCAGAACCCCAATTAGGGTCCCTTTTGGGGTACTTATAAGTCTGGTTTCTACCTACTTACTAAGTCCCCCGACCCTCCAAGAATGGAATCTACATGAAGACACCGGACCCGGGTTTTCGCACCCGAAACCCCTAGACGCCCGAAATTTTCTGAATGTTTTCGAATCTTCCATCCGCCAACCAAGAACCACCAATAGTCTCCATTGTAGTTCATTTTTTTGGTTAACCAAATCTTATATTCAGGATCCTAAAAGGTAACCCCAAAAAGGAACTACAATGGAAACTATAGGCAGAGCATCCTGGACCGTACAGCCCGAAACCCTGAAAGACCTGGACCTTATATCTATATAATCCCGAGCTGAGGCGTTTGCAAGAAGGCAGAGGGTCAGAGAGCCACCTGGCTTGCTGCCTCACAGTTGCTCGTTATCTCGGGCGACAATGAAGCGGAGGTGTTGGCCGTAAGGGGCATGAATGGTGGGAATTGAATATTCGTGGCTGATATTTACCTTTCGAAGGGGATGTTGTTACTACCTTCTTGCAGCCATGTATTCGGGCTATTAGGGAAGGTTTCGGGTTTGGTTAGCTCGGCTTAGGGTTACGGGTTAAGTGTTCAGTTATAGGCCCTGTAGTCGGGATCCTTAATGTGCAAGTCTTAAATCAGAAGCACTGGATTCTCCGGTGGCCCCTTGGCCAACCCACATACAACTCTTGTAATTAGCATTGTCTACAGAAAAAACCTGCATAAGCCGCGACGAGACCCTATGACACAACGAAAATCAGAGCAACAAGTGTCGAAACCTCATACAACCAAAAGCACGGCACCTACAGTCTGCATTGAAGTTCCTTTTTGGGTTTACAGTAGCAAATTTTTTGCATTGAAGATCTTATAAGGTAACCCCCAAAAGGAACGACAATGGAGACTATTCATAGGAGGCCAAAAGGGGCTTTAGCCTATGGGGGTTTCGTAGGGATCAGGTTTCCCATAATAGGGTTCATCTTAAGCCCTACCCCAAGAATCTTAACCCCCCCCTTTTTTTTTTGGCCTCCCATCGACCATGGGCACCATGTGAAGGTGCATCCTCTCGAAGTGCTCGATCTGACGACGACCACCTTCCAGGAGGCGCCCGAACTTGAGGGCCGGTCCCATAGGGTTTAGGGTTTAGGGTTTAGGGTTTAGGGTTTAGGGTTCAGGGTTCAGGGTTTAGGGTTTAGGGTTTAGGGTTCAGGGTTCAGCGTTTAGGGTTTTGGGTTCAGGGTTCAGCGTTTAGGGTTTTGGGTTCAGGGTTTAGGGTTCAGGTTGTTGGGTTTCGAATCAATGTCTTAGGCTTTTGGGATTGAGTTTTACGCTCTTCAGGTCTTGGGGAGTCTTTCTGCCTAGGCTTTTGAGGTTTCCCTTCATGCAGACTAGTGAGTTTGCCGGCTCGGTTTGGCTGGGGCGGAAACTCCATGAAACTGCATCAGCTTTATGTAGTCTGTTCCCCTGGTACCCAGCCAGGCACAAGGGTTAGTTAAGGTAGCTGCACCGTGCACTGCGCAGGAAACTTTGCATCGAGCACGCCCCATCGCACACCCGAATCCGAAGCCTGCCTGCCATCAGCTGCTAAACCGCGGAAACTCTAAGTGGCAAACCTTTAAAAAAACGGTTACTTTGTAGTACAGAAAGTACCCTGTAGTACTGGATGAGTTTTATCAACGGTCTGTTAAGTTCCTGAGCCTACGCATGTCCTCGTCTTCAGGTTGGCTCGCTGCCGCTGGGCAAAATGTTACAAGGATGCTTCTGATGTTTCACGTAGTAGCTGAGTGGATACACTTTACACTTTGGGGGGGATCATATTACCCACTATAAATAAAACTGAAAGTGTCCTAAACCCCAAACCCTAAAACCCTTTTTGGGGCTTATGAACTCTTACCCACTATAAAACTGAAAGTGTCCTAAACAGTCCTAAGCCCTAAACCCTAAAACACTTGTTGGGGCTTACCTAGAGTCTCTCCATTGTAGTTCCTTTTTGGGGTTACCTTATAGGATCCTAATTATATAATTGGTTAAACCAAAAAAAGGAACTACAATGGAGACTATAGGTATGAACTCAGCAACTAAGTTCACACCGACCCTGAGGTTGGGGTACTCTGCCGATGAAGGGACTCAGGTGTCAACCAGTTCTGTTTCGTTCCGTTTAGGGTTTAGGGGTTCAGGGGTTTAGGGTTTAGGGGTTTAGGGTTTAAGGTTTCGGGGTTTAGGGTTTTGGGGTTTAGGGTTTAGGGTGCCCCATGCGGACTGGACCCCGTCAACCCTAAAACCGAAGCCTTGAACCCTAAGGAGAGTCACCTAGTAGTAGAGTCGGTAGGGTTTATAACCTTTTTTGGGTAGTATAGCCCCTCTATTATCCCTATATATATATATATATATATCCCAAAAGGTTAACCTTTAGTTGCCCATGATACCCGACAAGTAAGTAGGGTTAAGAGCGGCCCAGGCGGGATTGATGTGAGTTAGTGAACTAGGGCACGGCTGGATGTGTTTCCTGTCCTAGCCGCCATAAATGCTCGAACCACCTCCCCTGTGCTTCGGACTCCTAAACACGCATAGCCTGAGAGGTTCACTGAAATGCAGAACTAGCGACATAAACTATTATTCCATGCATGTCAAACAATAGTCATACTAACTTTTTGGCACTGAAAGAAGAGCAAACCCGGATCAACGGATCTTTCTGCATAAGCCCTGAATTCTTAGACACTGATGAATCCTAAATGCTGTCCACCTTTAACCCTTGGCGCAGGCCTCCGCCCTAAACAAGAAAACCCTCAACCGTGTAATCGATGATTGCTGTAACAACCCAGTTACCTATATGGTGGATTGCTGTCTTTTGAACTCCGAACATAAGCCTTACAGAGCCCAGAACCCCCTCACCTAAGGCTAGTGGGCTTTCAGATGTAAACCTCAAACCCCCGGATCCCCCATAGCAAAAGACGCTGAGTGTAACATTGTCGGTAACCTATAATCATCATATGAGAACTCGCCCGTGGAAGGACCTCAAAGGAACCCACTAATTAGAACTTCCAAAGGAACACCCGAACCTTAAACCCCAGACCCCCGACGAGTCTCGAAGCATCCGCTGCTGTGAATGCAAGCAAGCGGTAAGGAACCCCATATTTCAGATAGGGGCCTAAATAACTACAACACGGCTTGCGGGTATGTTATGAGTATACATACTAATCTCAAGCAGCCCAAAATGGAAAATTGTTGAGGCCCCCTACCATTCTTTAAACCATCAGAAACCGCACCCTATGTAACTTAAGGTGCAGTTTTGAAAGAACGGAGGGTGCGGGGGTTTCCTTTAAGCGCTCCCGTCAGGGTCCTTTCAGGTGTAGGACCATGGGCTTTTAACTAAGGGTTCCCATAAATCCCAACACAAAGGCAGCCCGGAAAGGAACCCCTAAACGCGTGCCACCCCAAAGCCCTAAGCCTAAACCGTAAGGGGCCCCCGCCCTGTAATAGTGGTATATTGGGAATAGAATAGGGCCTTAATATAATCTTTATAGTCACTATTACAGGGTGGGGGCCCCTTCTAGCCTAAACCTTACTAGGACCCTGTCCTACACCTCGAGGAACCTTGAGCCCTTAAAGGAGTCCTTCCTCCAAACCCTAACCCCGAATCCCTCAACCCGAAACTTATGTAAAACCCTAGCGTCCTAAACCAAACCCTAAAAAAAAAACCTACTCCCGGGCCCTACTATTTTGGTCGTGCCTTAATAAACTTATAGTATAATGGGCCCCAAAACCCTGTTCTAGCTATCCATGCCCCTATACACTAAACCCTAAACCCCAAAACCCTGAACCCTAAACCCGAAGATCCAATAGCATTGACAACGAATGAGCAGTTATCTACCTTGGGGGGTATTATCACATCGTCCTCTACCTGCAGTTCTAGCTCAAGCCCGACGAGGAGTTCGAGAAGGAGGACTGGTCTGGCACACGACGACAGAGATGACCTGGGTGACAATACGACTTCTACGACAACGTGGCTGGAACTGGGAGGACTCTGGTGTTCTACTACTTCCACAAGTACTTCCTCTTCCCTTGGGCTCACATGGCCGGCCGATGTTGTTCGGGACATGGTGAATGTAAACCTGATCCACGGAGGCCAAACCGATACAGTGGAACTACTGCGAAGACTACTGGCACGCCAAAGACAACTATCCCATCAGCACAGGCTTCTGCTGGTGGCTGTTGAAGAAGCCCTTCGCTGGATCCCTTCCTCTCTGACGGCTATCCCCATGAATGTCGCTACCTTCGAGCGTAACATAATGATGACCGTGAACCAGGAAGCAACCTTTGGCTCGGGACCTTCGGCTTCTGCCACGAGTTCGTCAGTGCATGCCCCGTCGGCATTGCTTGGTGCGGGTATGCCAGCTACTCCTGATGCTCTTCGTGATGCTCTCCCTGGACAACCTGATCATGTACTTGTGGGATACCGACGTCGTGCATGGAGAGCCAATGCCCGGCACGTTTTCGAACAGTCTGGGCAGGTGGTACCGGAGGGCCCTTGGCCTGCGGAGGACGATCGTGACCTCTACTTGGTTCAACAAGATGAAAATCATGGCGTTGAAAACTGGCCTGAAGGAATTTCGAGACCAGCTACAACGGATCTGATCCAAGGCCCACGTGGACGGCGTAGACATGCTCATCGTCGTCCTCCACCCAGGTTTGTGCGTGATGCGGAAGAGGCTTTGATGAGAGATGATCGGCTCCAACGTGGGAGAAGTGGTCCACTGAGAGGAAGGCGTGATCGAGCACTACGAGGAGCCCAACGTCGCCGTCAACCTGGACATCGTCCTGTCCCTGAACGTGCTGCTGGTGTCCCTGAAGTTCCCCGTCGTTCTCCGGAAGATGGTCGTTCTCCGGAAGATGTTCGTCGTCGTGCACGTAGGGATCATAGAGAACGCAGTCGCAGTCGTGATGAATGAGAGGTGGTGCAGGGAAACGTGAGGCAGTCTGAACTGGTGCACCGTGAAATCTTGAATGAAGAGAAACTCGGTGTCGGCTGAGAGAGGGTATTCACAGTGTATGCTCCAAGTGGAGCAAGCTCGACTTCTGCTGGAAAAGGGGCTACTGCACTTTAAAAAAAAAAAACCCGAAGATCATCAGGTTTCACACAGTGTATGTCTGTAAAGGCAGACTAGGGCGACCTAGCCAGTACACTTATAAAAAACCCTAAGCCCAAAACCCCAGAACCCAGAACCCTAAACCCTCAAATAAACTCCAAAACCCTAAACCCTGAACCCTCAAAACCCAAAGCCCAAAACCCCAAAACCCTCAACCCTCAAAACCCTAAGCCCAAAACCCCAAAAACCCTCAACCCTAAACCCTCAAAACCCTAAGCCCAAAACCTCAAAACCCTAAACCCTAAACCCTCAAAACCCGAAGCCCAAAACCCCAAAACCCTAAACCCTCAACCCTCAAAACCCTAAGCCCAAAACCCCAGAACCCCAGAACCCTAAACCCTCAAACCCCTATAACCCCTAAACCCTAAACCCTCAAAACCCGAAGCCCAAAACCCCAAAACCCTAAACCCTAAACCCGTTGCCCAGGAAGGGCCTCGCTTGGCCGCTGGTCACTGCCAGCCGCGACCGGCAGCTCTACGCAGCGGTCGCCGGGCTCGAGGCGAGAGTAAGGCCCTTCAGGGTTTACTTAGGGGTACTTAGAAATAGTTTTTAATTTTTGGTAAAAAAATCTTTGAGAAACAGCTGAAACTATATTTTTTGCTAGGGATCTAAGTTCAGTATAGTTAACGGTTTAGGGTTTAGGGGCTTAGGGTTTGGAGTACCATACTTGAATACATGTTTTGGGTACCTGCTCCTTAAAGGAACCATTATGATATAAAAGTGTATACTTTTTCCTCCCTGGATACTTCTCGGCCTAGTTAATGTAGTAGGGTTTAGGGGCTAATGGTTTAGGGCTTATAGGGCTTAGGGTAGTTGCCTTTATCAAGGGAATAGGCGACAACAGCAACAACATCAACACTATCAAATAACATGAGAATAAGAAGGAGCACAGCACTTAGAGCAACAAGAGTAAACATATGCATCATACTAGCACTTGTACGACTACTTCTTTAGTAGTAATGGTTGTATTGAACTGAGGCATTATGGTGTACTTAGGTGTTATGCGGTTTCTATATGTTACGGTGGTTTACAGGGCTGCTCAGAAAGGGATGCCTGGCCTAATCTATGTGTAGCATACCAGTACCACCATATAGAGATCAAAAGGCTATAGATTCTGAAGTGTGGTGCCTTTCTTGGTTCTCCTACTTCCGTGTTCACGATCCTAATCCTAGTAGTACAGTAGGTAACCTTTAACCGTTTTTGGGTAGTATAGTCCCTATATAATCCCTATATGACCAAAAGGTTAACCTTTAATTCCCCATGACACCCGACAAGTAGGTACCCATAGGCCCCAAAGTAGTTAGTTCCTTTTTGGGATTACCTTATAGGATTCTATATACGAACCCCAAAAAGGAACTACTTTGGCGTCTTAGGGTAATCTCTCAGCGCCGGCGCCCCCTGAGCGCCTTGGCCAGGTGCAGGTGCGGAGCTCCGCAACGCACGAGACGAAGCTGACGCTGAGCGTGCCTGGCCAGGGCGCGGCCTATGCAGCACGGCTGGGTTTGAGGTTTTCAGGGGTCTAGGGTTTATAGGGGTTGGGGTTTAGGGTTTATAGGGGTTGGGGTTTAGGGGTTTAGGGTTTGTAGGGGTTGGGGTTTAGGGTTCCGGGTTTAAGTTTTCTAGGGGTTGGGGTTTAGGGTTTTAGGGTTTAAGGTTTCTAGGGGTGGGGTTAAAAGGGGTTTAGAGGATTCAGGGCTTAAGGTTTCTAGTGGGTTGGGTGTTTAGGGTTTAGGGGTTTAGGTTTCTAGGGTTTAAGGGTTGGGGGTTTAAGAGTCTAGGGTTTAGGGGTTGAGGGTTTAGGGCAGCAAGGACTGAGACTGTGGGGTGTTTTGTTGGGTTTCGTCCTTATAAACCCTATAAACCCTTAGAGCAGGGTTCCTTTACCTCATCTGTTGTTGTTGTTTTCGTTTTTAGGGCGGGGGGGGGGGGCAAGGCGTTTGAGGTTTAGGCTGATAGAATGCATGTACATAAGGCTCGTATGTCCTACGTCCCCTTGAAGGGCTTCCAGTAGATCCAAGCGTAAAAGGAGGGACCCTTAATAAGGACCCCTAGGTGTATACCCGTAACAAAGCTATTATATACCCATTTTGCAGCCCATTAGAGGGTAGGGGTCCCCATTAAGGGCCCCTCCTTTTCCCCTTTGAGTAGAGCATCTTCATGGCCAGATCCTTATACCTCCCTAAACCCTAAACCCTAAACCGTGGTCTTCTGGGCTTCTGCTACAGCAGGGCCGGAGGCCTAGTTTGAGGGTTTGGGGGGCATACCTCTTAAAAGTGATTTTGGGCCGAATGTAGGGTTCTCATGAAAGGGTAAAGAACATTTTACCCTTTTAAAAGCGATGTGCGTCGAATGTAGGGTTCTAATGAAAGGGTCCTGCAAGGTGCCTTTAGACATACATGATGTCAGCTGGCATATGACATGTCCACCCGAATTTTGCATACTCGCGAGTTCCGCAAAGGAGACCCCAACCTAAACCCTAAACCCTATCAGTACAGAAGGGCTGCGAAGAAGGGACCCCAAGTTTTATCGTAAATCCTCACCTGAGAAGCCCCAAGCCCTGCACCGGCTATCCTAAACAACACCCTTAGTTCCCTGTATGTGTAGTTGTCAAAATTAAGGTCCCTTATTGGGTACCCTAAATATGAGGTGCCGTCTTACAATAGGGACTCAAAAAGGGACCATAAGTTTGACAACCACCCGTATAGAAACCAGCACCATCCCCCTTTAAAGACACCACATGCAAGGTCTCCAACCTGGAGTTCAGCCCAGACGGCCGGCACTTGGCGGCTGTTGTGGACAATGTTTCTACCGTCTACGACATGGAGGTGCTACCTGGAGCCTGAAAACTCGAGATTGTCTAGGTCGGTTGCTTGTCATAATGCTGATTTCCATGTATGTTTCCTGAAAAGGCGGATTAGTTAATGAGGGGTGTAGCATAGTAAGCTTTAGAGCATGTTGGCGTGGTGCATGCGTTAAGTTTCGATGTGCGAGGGAGGTCTTGCTCCATTGGGTTGGGGTGGAGGTGCTTAAACCCTAAACCCTAAGCCGAATTGAACTCTAAACCGCAAGAACCCTAAACCTTAAACCCCTATTTGAACACTGAACCTTAAACTCCACACCCCTAATTGAACCTTATACTCCAAACTTCATGTCGAACCCTACACCCTGAACCTTGAACCCTAACCCCTAAAAACTAAACCCTATAAACCCCTATAAACCCTAAATCCCAAGCTTCCCAGGGCTTCTTGCGTCCAGCCGTTCGGCAGATTAAGCTTCAGTTCAAACATGAGGTGCCCTTAGTCACCCAAGCGTTTAGGTTTAGGGGTAGGGTTTAGGATTTAGGTAGGGCTTAGGGGTTAGGGTTTAGGTAGGGCTTTAGGGTTTTGGATTTAGGCAGGGTTTACGTAGGGTTAAGGCAGCTTTAGGGTTCATTGTTTAGGGAGGGTTTAGGGTTCAGGGTTTAGGGTTTGCGATTTGAATGGTTGAGGCCGTCAAAGTGGACAACATGCTCTCACATGACTTTCACAGCAAGCATGTGGCAGAACCTTAACTTCAACGTAGTTCCTATATAGATACGGACACATGTATACAGACAAGTTATACTATTGAAGTATTGTTTTAGATGTGCAGCGTCATTTTAAGCTGGAGGGCTGGGCGGATCAGAATTTAGGGCCGTGGGTTGCTGTGGAAGCAGATGTCCATAGAAGCACCCTTTGCAGGGCAATCCCGTGCTCACCGTGGAAGGGGAGAAGCGGACCATGACTGCATGCTGGTACGATGCGGACACTTTGCTCTCCATGAACGAGTGGATCATCTACTACCACACGCTGAGCTCGAAGGACTGGCTTTGCGCTCTTGCCCAGGACAAGCTTATCATAAGGTTCAGTAGTCATATTTTGAAGGTGGGCTTAGCGTACAGCATACTACAATCAAACGAGAGTGGGCAAGGTACCCAGTAAAAGTGGCATCTGGTTTGTTTCAGTCACTACGTTCTGCGCCAGGACTGGTTATTTGCGGCAGGACTTACCTGTCTCTGAAATGATGCCTACTATTGCTGGCTGCCTACCTTACTACGAGGTCAAAAGGCCCCACCCGCAAAGGATGTTGCCCGCGAGGAAACTACGTTGAAGAGTGTAGTTTGAGGCTCAGGGTGTATAGTATGTGTTAACCCGCCGTTCCGTGGGTTACTTGATAAAATGCCGTTTGTGTGGTACGACTGTATATTTTTTATTTGTTTGTATATATAAATATATAACTGTTAAATATACACGCACATGCAGCTTCCAGGGTTTGGAGGTTTTAGTTTTGAGTACAGAGGGCGCTTGGATGCTTCTTGGTGCATGCACCCATCGTCCTGAAATGTCCAGAGCATCAGTACAGTGTTAGCATCTTACCCTTCATGCCTTCATCTTCGGAACCCCAAACTAAACCCTGTAACCCCAAACCCTGCAAACCCAAAACCCTACATCTAAAACAAGGATCTCGAGACTCAGGCAGTGTTTTCGGGCACGGGCTTCGGGGCTTGTGGATGTAAAGCTTTAGGGTGTCGGCTGAGCCTCTTGGGCTTTGAGCCCCACCCTAAACCCTGATGTACTATAGGGGCCTAAATGATCAACAGTACTATTTTAGAGGGGCTCCTCATTGTAATTGTAGTCTAATGGGCCCCCAAACCCCTATTCTGATGTTTAAGGCTTCTATGCATTAGGGTTTCGGGTAGTTTGGCGGCCGTGGCCTTGTCAGTGACAAAACGTACAACCCATGAAAGCCCCCCGGCTCAAAAGACTCTAGAAACGCTTTTGATTTTCATTTCGTATCTCCTTATACCGAAAGGCTCCATGTACCATATAGCAGGTACTTAGGCCTTAAAGTAGCCATATAGGGACCCCTTTAAGGCCTAAGTACCTACTATATGGGTGCATGGAGCCTTAGGGATAGAAGCCGAGAGAACCTTTCGGAGCCCGACGCCCTGAGAGCCTCCTAGACCCCTTTGCAAGAACCTTTTCAAAGCCACGCTGGTCTTGGTATTTAGGCCCCTACTACACCATACCTTAGAAGCTGCCCCCACCCTGTAATGGTGAGTATAAGGATTATATTAATTAGGGCCCTATTATACCACCATTACAGGGGGGCAGCTTCTAAACCATACCCGTCATGCCGTAAACTCCAAACCGCAAATCCCTACAGCCGAACCCCAAATCCTCAGGGACTCCAATATCCCTGAATTGAGGAATATACCTTAAATTATAGTAGGTTCCCTAATATGAGTTAAGGAATATTCCTTAATTAAGGGATATTGGAGGCTCTGGGTCCCCAGCATGCAGGAGCTGCTGAACAAGTGGGAACTCCCCCAGGGCACCGTCGCCGAAGCGCATGTGAGCAAGGACAAGAAGTTGCTTGGGTAGTCTGGGGGTTTAGGGTTTCCCCGAAACCCCTAAACCCTAAACCCGGTTTTGGGCGGTTTGGGGTTTAGGGTTTAAGCAAGGCAGTTCGGATGCGGAGTTTCGTCTTGGGAGGGTGTTGGGTCTAGAATTTCGGAAGTTGGGGGTTTTATAGGGTCCAAGAATTATAGGTGCCCTATTAGGGCACATGATAGGCTTTTGGGAAAAGGTGATAGAAACCAGAAGAGTTTAGGGTTTAGGGATGTTTACAAGGGTGCGCAAGGTTTTAAAGGAGACCATACTTGGGTGCTTGGGTTTGAAATAGACGTAGTACGCAGGATGCTTGACCCCTCAACCTGAAACTCAGAATCCCCAACCCATGGAAAAGCTAAGCCCTAAACCCTAAAGCCCTAAAGCCCTAAACCTTAAAATCAAACACGGAAATCCTGAATCCTACAGCCCTATAGGAAACCCTACAACCCAAAACTCCTAATCCCTAAACCAAACACGAAACTCCTAAACCCTAAACCCAGCACGACACTCCTAAACCCTAAACACGAGATTCCTTAACCCTGAACCCTAAAGCCCTAAACCCGACAATCCGAAACTCCTAAAACCCAGCATCCCCCAGGCTCCTTGTCTCAGACGACAACGCCCACCTGAAGTTGCTGGCGTGGGAGCCGGACATGAAGGCACAAGACTTCAAGTTTAGGGTTTAGGTTTAGGGTTTAAGGTTAAGGTTTAGGGTTTAGGGTTAACTTCCCATTTTTCTACTGAATATTTCTTTCATCATGACTCCAATATGCCTTATAGAAATAAGGAATACACCTGAAGGGTTCCGTTGAGGGATCTATAGGGCTTAGGGGACGCTACGACCCCTTAATTAAGGAATATCCCTTAAATCATATTAGGGATCCTACCATAATTGCAGGCATATTCCTTAGTTAAGGGATAGTTTATATGCCCCTTAGGATTTTCTTTAGTTTTGCTCATATATAGCCCAATCGGATACTTGAACATACGGTTTCAAATTATGGTTCTAAGGGAAGTATAGACAAGACCTGGGAGGTTTGGAGCTTATAGGCTTTCAGTTTTCAGTGTTTACGGCTTGTGGTTTTTGGGGGCTTTAGGGTATTTTAGGGTCTTCGGGCTCATAGGGCCTAGGGACACATGTGGGAGGTTGACGGTTGAAATTTCGCCTCTGATCGAAACCTCTCATTTTTAGGCACCCGACCCACCTCCATCTATGAGATCTTTTCGAGTGTTTCGAGCCCTAAGGTAAGGTTGTGGGACACAGAGCAGAATTTAAAAGTTGAAAATGGACGCTAAGGGTGGATGCCTATAATCAAAGGGGAAAAGGAGGGACCCTTAATGGGACCCCTACCCTATAATGGGCTAAATAATGGGTATATAATAGCTATATTAGGGGTCCTTATTAATGGTCCCTCCTTCTTACCCTTGGATATAAGCCCTGCATCGCCCCTGGCTGGCCTCGTAAACCCTAAACCCCAACCCCCGCCCTTCCTCGCCGAAGGCTTTCGAGACCTTGCAGACGTTTGATGCTCCACCGGGGAATTATAGCGGCCCAAGCAACCTCGTCGTGTTCTCCGATGAGCGGTCGGCGCATGTCTCGGACGGGGGCGTTCGGTTCCTCTGTTTAGAGGTCTATGTGCGCGGTTCCTACTGCATCTCGTGGTGCCAACCCTAACCCCTAAACCCAAAACCCTAAACCCTTGCAGTTCAAGTCTGTCGGATACAATTACTTGGCCCTCAACCCTTCAGCCTTTTTCCCCCAATACCCCTCCAGCTACTTGGAAGGGCAGGGGAGTTAGTAAGCAAGGTTATAAGTACCTTATAAGTAGTTATAAGTATAGTTACCCTAATTATAACCCTAGCTACTAAGTCCCATGATCCTTTAAGTACAACCACACCGGGAAGCTTAGACCCAGGCCAACAACAACCCCATTCGGGGCCACCCTTCTTTTGCCCCCTACACCCTAAACCCTAAACCGACGCGCTGAAGCCCAGGTGCTTTACGAGCCGGGTGGCGGAGGGAACTTCCGATGCTCGGTGGACACGTCTGAGGTTGAAGGTTGTGTGGCTTTCGCTCTTTGTTCAGGGTTTCGGGGGCCGTAAGTTCAAGTTGGCAGCTGCGAACCCACAATGTAGAATGTCATATTCGATCAAAATGGCCAGGAGCTTTGCCCACATACCTCCTCATCTGCAACCCGAATTACACCTTGAGTTTGGGGTTAGTGGCTGTTGATGGAAGGAGTTGCGAGATAAGCGAGCCTATTCAAGCCTAACTGTGAAACCCGAAACCCAACCCCTCTTTTGCTAGTCGTCAAGTCTCCAACCTCTGTAGCATCCCAACGCGAAGCCACCAAAACCCGAAACCGAAAGAATTCCATCCCCTAAACCCTAAACCCCGAACCGTCGTACCTTCATTGAACCCAAACAGGATCCTTACTTGCAGCACCGTATACGACCCTATAACACTCTCAAGCCCTATGGAAGCTTGTAAAGCACTATACTGTGCAGCCCCTACTCCATAAATCCTAAACCCTACTAAACCGCTCTATATATATATATATATATATATATATATGTATAATTATACAGCAATATATAGCCCCTTGTAGCTCTTTGTGGTAACCATTACAGAGCCCCTTGCAGTCATCCTTATAGAGCCCTGCACAACCCTGATTTCAGACTTTCTGGGACCCGAGGGCTGCTTTGGGCGTGCCAGGGTCGAAAGGGGTCTCGGTTTAAGGTCTTGAGGTTCAGGGTTTAGGTTTAGGGTTGAGGGTTGTAGAGGTCTGGCCCTTGGGTCCAAAGAAGAGTTCCTTTCAGGGTCTCGATTAGGGCTGGGATGAGGGTCCGGAGGTTTATTTATAGGGTGCAGGTTCTGGGATTTGGGGCCGAGAGCTTTGCGTCTAAGGTAGGTCTTCAATACCAACAGTTTGATGGGTGTCCGATTCGCGAAGTTGCAAACCTCTATGGGAGAAGGCTATCATGACCTCGAGACGGGTTCAGGGTTTAAGGTTCATTGCGCCACCCTAAACCCTAAATCGTGCCCGAACTAAACCCTAGACCCTAAACCCCTAAACCCTAAACCCCTAAACCCCTAAACCCCTAAACCCCTAAACCCCTAAACCCTAAACCCCTAAACCTAAACCCTAAACCCCTAAACCCCTAAACCCTAAACCGTTTAGAGAAGGCTATCATAACCTCGAGACCGGTGAGATCCTCACCGTCCCTCGCGGAGAGGGTCCGGAAGAGGGTCTCCCTTCTGTCCCCGGGCTGCAGCGTGAGGGTTTAGGGTTTAGGGTTTAGGGGTTAGGGTTTAGGGTTTAGGGTTTAGTGCAGACTTTCGTTTGGAACAGAGCGAGGGAGGGAGAGAGAGAGAGAGAGAGAATCAAAGGGGAAAAGGAGGGACCCTTAATGGGGACCCCTACCCTATAATGGGCTATATAATGGGTATATAATAGCTATATGAAGGCGATGTACCTAGGGTTCCTTACTAAGGGTCCCTCCTTTTACCCTTGGAGAGGAGAGGCACTCCTCCAAAGCCCCAGGAAATGCGGGGGGGGATCCTGGTGGCCGGGGGGCTCTTGCACACCCCTCATGCCCTGATGAAGAAGAGAGAAGAGGAACCGGAAGAGGTAGAGGAAGATGAAGAGGAAGAGGAAGAGGAAGAGGAAGAGGAAGAGGAAGAGGAAGAGGAAGAGGAAGAGGAAGAGGAATAATAATAAGAATAGTACCACAAACAGCAAGCGCGATATTACTGCAGAAGAAGGAAGAGAGAGAGAGAGAGACGTTACAATGGCACGGCCATAAGATTTGTACATTCGCGTCAGCAGACGCAGATGCCAGGAACGCAGGTCCGATGAGTTTGAAGCTCAGGTAAGCCCAAGGGGATTCCTCTCTTTGGCCATGAGCCGTTTCATTTGTAGATGTAGCAGTAGAGTTGGCAACCTTTAACCTTGTTGGGTCATTATAACCCCATAGAACCCCAAAGGTTTACCTTTCTTTAGTTCCCCTAGGATACGCGACAAGTAAGAGGTGTAGCAGAGAGCAATGACTATCTAGCCAGAAGGTGGTCTTTATTGTAGTCTAGCAGTCTAGGACACAGAGTCAGCCCTTATTCCACTTTTTCGGGTTTAGCTCAGCTTTTCTTATAACACCCTTTAACCCCAAAAAGGGCACCCTTTTTATTCCTAGGTTACTCTTGGGTCTAGTGGTAGTGTAATATATCCAAATGCCTTGCGCATGTTAGGAGTTCTGAACCCTTGACCTCAAGACGTTTCCCTTCAACCAAAGCCTTGTCAGATCCTGATTAAGTTCTATAGAGCCCTGTAGAAACCTTGTTCTGGCTCCACCTGACCGATTCCCACAGAATCACATAAACACCTATAGGAGCCCATCAACAGCGTTTGAACAAATCAGCTGAACGTTTACAGTAAACCCTATAAAGTTGGAAACCGGATTCAGGACAAATAGTGCTGGGGCTCCTTATACATTACTCTTAAGGATTGAGGCTATGAGGTTTCCAACTTTTGGGCTTTTACTGTAACCCAAACCAGGTGAGCCAGGCCACTCTCGCTCCTGCCGAAGACTCTGGGCTTTCAAGTGCCATACTTTAATACCTTTTTGGGGGACCTGTTACTTTAAGGGAACCATTATCATCCTGGTCACTTCAAAGCCCAGGACTACCTCGCGATTCTCGGCTTCAGCGGTTTGGAGGTCTTTCGACTGATACGCGCTGCGCCTGAGACTCCGGCTTAGGGCTTCGGGGCTTCTAGGTCAGAGTTTACTATAGGGGCCTCAATAATTACCAATACTATTGTGGAGGGTTCCTTATTGGACATTATAGTATAATGCGTGCCAAAAACTTGTTCTAATTATTCAGGCCCCTATAATATACTACCCTTATAGATCCCTTGTTGAACCCTTTAAGGATCTCTGTAAAGGAATCCTTTCCTAACTATGAAGGCCGGTATACTATGGGCTTGACAGGCTTTCTTTACACAAAACCCTAAACCCAAGCTTTGGAGTCCTTAATAGCCTTAATATATACAGATTATATGGGATTTCTCCACAGTCTGAAGCCGTAGCTCAAGTTTCGGTGTGCTTGTATGATTAAAGCATAATATGGTTTGAAACCTTATTCTAGTCAGTCCAAGCTTCTCTATTAATCTTATGGCGTTTTTGGTTAGTTTAGGCTTGAATTTACGGCAGGTTTAATGCTGGGCAGACTTCAGGACTTGGTTGTGTCTCGTCTCAGCCGCATGTTTAAATTGACCCTGCTTTCGATTGCGTACCTTGCTTCGAGAAATAAAACTGAGCCTAGGTTTCAAAGTTTATGCCAGCTTGCCTTCTTTACTATCACGAATCGCTGGCAGGGTCTTATGCTGCACCCGCGCGACGGGGAGATGTTCGAAACACTTCCTGTTTCACTTCACTCAACCCTAACACCCTCAACCCGAAACCTGCTAATGACTCCAGAATCTCTTAGCTACTTAACTCTAGAACTCGGAACCTCGTAGAATCAATAACCCACAACCTTAAGTCATCAAACCTCAAATCTCAAGCATAGCTCCTAAACCCCATGTTGCAAGCCGTGATCGAAACCCCGATAGAATGTTGCAATTCTTTGTAGAAGCCCTAAACGCCGTCCTTCCGCTAGCGAAACCTTTGTAGACACCAATAACAAGGCCTCTCCGTTATAGTAACCTGTATAGGAGCCCTCAAACGAACCCTACCCTAAACCCTAAACCTCTAACCCCTAAACCCAAAGCTTCAAACCCCTCAACCCTTCGACCTCGGCTCCTATGCTCAAGTGCATTCGAGCGCACCGGTTGTCGAAGATGCAAAAAAAGGCGTTGTCCTTAGTAACAGAATAGGAAACCTCTTACCTTGGGGGGGGGGGGTATGATAACCCCTGTATGATCCCGAAGGTTAATGCCACCAGAATGCTGGGCAAGTGAGTTTTGCTCGTTGCTTAAGCGATTGGCATTCAAGGTTCGGTTCATGAAAACCCTAAACCCTATTCCCTACTTACTGCAACCACACAGCTGGAATACCAAGGCTACAAGTCAGCAAGACCGGAGCCCAACACAGCCGGGTTAGCGGTTTTGGGGGGTTTTAGGGTTTGGGGTTTTAGGGTTCAGGGGTTTAGGGATTTGGGTTTTATAGGGCTTTAGGCTTTAGAATTGGAGTTTGGGTCCAGGTTTCAGGTTTTGACGCCATTCAAGCCGCCTCTTCTTGAAGAAGGACCCGAAGAAGACATCTACGCCTCGCAGCTCAACACCCAAACGAAACAGAGAACTGCCATGGTTCGAGCTGAACCCTAAATCTTTGTCATAGTTGGGTAACATTTTACATTTTTTATGGGTACTTAAACTCGAAAAGGAATAGAAATGTACATTTTTCATCCTATCCCAACTATGAACTCGAAATCCTATCGGAACCCCAGCACTTCAACTAATCGTGCTATTCGAGCTTTCGGCCCTGCGTTCTCTGCTCAAGCGTTGTCCTTCTTCCGTCTGGCGCGCCAGACTGCCCCCCTTAAAGGCATCTGCTGGTGAAGGTGTTCACTTAGGGCTGATAGGCCAAGGGTGTTGATTTCGGGTTCACGTTTAGTCTAGGGTTGATTCGGGTTGATGTTTTAGAGTACGGAATTGAGGGTTTATGGTAATAGGAGGTTGCAAACTTAATCAGGAATAGTAACAGTTTGCTCTTGTCGTCCCAGTTCTACTTGCTCATAGATATGTACACTTGTCTCAACCCTAAATGTGATTTTCATGAGGTCTCTCCATCCCCGAACCCTAAACCTTAAACCTTACACCCTACACCCTAAGATTTCTTGAAGTTTCGTGAATCAAAGACTCAGTTCTATGCCGTGTAAGGCGCTCCAGGGGCTATGGAATTGTTTGATAAAACGGACCTTATTAGTTACTTGTAAAAAATTTTGGGAGGTCACGTTAAAGGGGTCTATAAGGGTTACTACGGGGATCTATAAGGGTGCTTTGATACAGGGGCCTTAATAGTTACCAATTCTATTTGGGGGTTTTCTTAGTATAGTTACATAAATTATAAGTATACTATATGTACACCAAAACCCTACGTTAATTATTCAGTCCCTTATATTATGCGGGTAGTTCTGCAAATTTGAATCCCTGTTTGCACCCCGAAGAGAGTACCTCGTTTTTAGTCTACTGACCCACCACGAGAGACAGTCATACCCTCATTCTGCCAAGTTCAATCTAGTAAGCCTTTAGAAAATTAGCCTTAAGCGTCCAGAGGACCCAATATTGCTTGGAGCTAGAACAGTAAGCTTGTAAGGTTTTTCCCTGTAGGACTATGATGAAATAGTTATCCCCGGGCTCCACGTCCCCAAAACGTAGGATCTGCTCCTTGGTGATCCCTATGCCTAAGGCTCCATGTACCGTTCTAGTACATACTTAAGCCTTTAAGTACCGATATAGGTACCCCTTTAAGGCCTAAGTATATACTATATGGGCACATGGAGCCTTAGGATAATCAGAACTGGCCGTGTTCAGCTTCGTGTGCAGGCGAGCAACTATGGCTAGCCAGTCTGCCTCGATTGAGGGACACTGTTGGGGGGCAAGGTGCTGTGCATCTTTTTGCTACTCATAGACGCACAATGCTAAACCCTAAACCCTGTATTCGACGTGGCAAGGCAGTGAGTTTGTTTATCCAATCAGGACTCTACGTTACTTCGGGCCTACGGAGTCATGCCTTTGAGCTCAGGGCCTCGAGTTTTATGCTTGCGAACTTTGCGGTTTCTTCTGAAAGAGATGCAGCTTATCCCCTAAGCCTACACCCTTAGCCCTTTCTCTGCTTCCGGCTCATATCGAAGCTCTTCTCGCCCTTTCAAGCTGTGGAGACGGAGGAGTTGCAAGCCCAGTCAGTCAGTCCGTCCGTCGGTCCGTCAGTCCGTCTCTCCGTCTCTCGGTCGGTCTGTCAGTTTGTCTGTTTGTCTGTCTGTCTGTCTGTCGCCTCTGCATCGCATCCTCTGCCGATTTTGGGCCTCAGAAGCTTTGGATCCCCAAGGACACCCTTTAATGAGACTACTGTGTTGTTGCTATTAGACATAAAGCTATAGCCCCAAAACAGTAGCAAGGACAACCTTCAATAAAACCCTAAACCCTAAAACCCTAAACCCTACAACCCTAGACGTGGCAGGCAAGTATCGCCAGCGCCTTGCTCAGAGCAGCGGCGTGAGTAGCTCGAGGCCCTTCTTGGTCATCCCTTCCAGCGGGTTCTAGGGTTTGAGGGTTTCGGGCTTTAGGGTTTCAGGATTTAGGGTT